TCTGATGATGGCTATATATAGCCGAAACATGTCGTAAATGTTCCATATGTAAATCGAGTACTCGATACGGAACGTAAAATGATATTTTAATCTTTTAATTATCTTATATTGTGATTGACGGCCAATTTTAATATATTTTTAATACTATTTGAATTTTGAATCTCATTGCACGAGTATAATTTTCTCAATTCTCGCGTCTCGTTGTTCTCCAACACCTTCGATCTGTGTTCTTCTGTCTTGCCTAAGACAGTTACGTCCTTCAGACTGAAAAACGTGCTCGATTAGCGTCCTGATCTCGTGTTATTCGAGAGATTTCTGCAGGTTCCAACTTCAAAAAGTCATTAGGCCGCTGCTGACTAGGACAAAGATGAAGTCTCAGGCTAGTATGTTACGTTTACTGTGGATCGATGCGGGCAACAGACACGATGTAGCTTGACATAATTGAGTATGGCTACTCGCTTTTTTTTTTTTGCATATAAGCAAGATTTCAGCTTACATTGTTCCGCCTATACACATACATTGCACAGATTTGATTTGATTTATTAACAGATATTTGGGTAAGATTTGAGGTTTTCACGGCCGTGAGTCTGAAGATGGTTGTATTCTCTGGGTTGTTGCGCTGTGTAGTCTGGTCGATGTTAACCGACGTTTCAGAGGTCATACTGCCTCCGTCATCAGAGTATGAAGATTTCTGTCTTCTGGGTTGTTGCGCCGTGTAGTCTGGTCGATGTTAACCAACGTTTCGGAGGTCATACTGCCTCCATCATCAGGGCGATGAGTATGAAGATTTCTGTCTTCTGGGTTGTTGCGCTGTGTAGTCTGGTCGATGTTAACCAACGTTTCAGAGGTCATACTGCCTCCGTCATCAGGGCGATGAGTATGAAGATTTTTGTCTTCTGCGTTGTTGCGCCGTGTAGTCTGGTCGATGTTAGCCAACGTTTCAGAGGTCATACTGCATCCATCATTAGAGCGATGAGGCTCATCGAAGTTTACCGATCTCTGAAACAACCATCTTCAGATATTTGCGATTAAATCGGGTGAGTTTGACGAAATGGGTATTATTTCTAGTGGGAATTATGCATAGAAGTGGCTAGTTGGGTTTAATAATTATTAAATTATAATTATAATTATTACTGTATCTTGCAAGCCTCGCTGTGTAGATAGAATGATGCCTGTTTAAAGGAAACTGAGCATTTTATGTGCACTCGCGCGCAAACACATTGTCCCCCAAAAGATATACACCCACATTCAATGAATGAAATGAAGACATTTTTAATAAACTTTACCATTACGTACGCCTGGATTGGAACCTGGTGATCTAACGTAGGTGTTCAAAATGACCACCGTCAACTTCGTGGCACTGTTGACAGCTGTCAACGAAAGTTGGTGCTGTGTACATCTTTTTGGGACATTCTGTAATACCCCCCACCCCCCTCTTAGGAACTGCTTGTTTGTCAAGTATACTTTTTGAAAGTGCCTGATACACGAGAATGACAGTTCCGTCTTTCGTTGGATGATGAGGAAGACAAGACCGTTTCTACTCCATGAACCATAACCTCTCCCCACTCCCCTTCCTCCTCTGCTAGCTACATGGAGATCGATAACCATCCAGCAGACTTGGACTGTGGCATGGCGACAGCGGCTGAACATGTCAACAAACAGCCCATTGGATTTCTGTTTTCGTGAAACCGTGTGTTTTAAATTATTGTTTTTAGTCGATAGTAGGAAAAGGCCTTGTTGATATCGGAAGGATTTATTGTACATAGGGCTTACGAAATGCCCTCGCCACGTGTGTGATAACTGAAACCGATGGCGCACACGATTTTAGTCTGTCTAAATTTATTAGAATTTGATAAAAATGCAAGGGTCAGAAAGGAAAATACAGAACGTGGAACGTTTGTTTCCCGATCTGAAAATTTGACGCCGTGTTTTTAAATTTACGGTATAAAATATTTGCACGAAACAATGACTAAGTATTCGCAAATGAATTTAGCAACTGCTGGATTCATGACGTACTTCTGGAGCCCTACTTGTACCCTGTGTATATTCTGACATCTGCTATTCAACACATGAATCTGTATGTCACACGATTCATCGCCCTGATGACGGAGGCAGTATGACCTCTGAAACGTTGGTTAACATCGACCAGACTACACAGCACAACAACCCAGAAGACAGAACTCTTCGTACTCATCGCCCTGATGACGGAGGCAGTATGACCTCTGAAACGTTGGTTAACAACCCAGAAGAGAGAAATCTTCAATAAACTTGATAGCACAAAGGAACGTGTTGCGTCAAATGGAGTGGGCGTTGGAATTTTCGGTCTGAAATGAGACGCCAGACATAAAAAAGGCTGTGAACCGTTTCCACAGGTGATAACAGCGAACAGTAGTCGCGAGTCCGTTCTCACCTGTGCTGCTAGAACTAGGAAGACGGTGAACCCGTGGGATGGTTGTGCCTGATGTATGCGCGGGCGACAGCCCATCTTTAATTCATAAGAAAGCCTTCTCATGCAGATTCATTGATTTCACAGTTATAAATAAACGTCTTTTTCCCGACTAAGAACTCAGAAATGAGAAAAAGTAATTCTGCAACAGCAATAAACCGCAATCCGTATGCAGTACTGAATATGTAATGAACTACTCGTATATTTATGTTTGTGTGGTGTTTTATAAATTGGCTAGACACCCAACATTTTTCATGCCTCGTGCAACAGGGACGTACTTGAATGAATCGACTGTGTGATGCTTCTCGTAACCCTTTGAAGCCGAAG